ACTGTTCCTCCTTAATCTATTGTGTCCTTTAGTTGTTTAATGTCCTGTCGTACTGGGTCGTCTAAATTCGATTTACTTCTCAAATTTCTGCGTGCACCTCCACCGACCTCATCCGAGTCACCATAGTTTGGACCAGGGTTCACTTCCACATTACCAATTACTAAGAGACAGAATAGGCATGTCCGAACTGCTAATGTTGTTTTACCACATAACAATAGAGAACAATAGGTCATTGCCAAAATGGCGAAAGTACCGTCATCTTTACTCAGTTTCCCGCCACTAAATCTGCCTATTCTTGTTCTATAGGTAATCACATCCACACCCATCATCAAAACATGTCACTATATACCTCGTTAGATGGAAACGTTGTCAGATCCTACCGATCGTGTCTCAAATTCGGCAAAATTCAGGAAAGATACGGAGCTCCAACGTAAACGATGCACTGCCACTCACGCCCTCCATAACAGTTTTCATTATATACATAGTTAAAGCGCGGGGGGGAGGGGTCGTCACCTGCGCACGTGACGATAACAACTCACACTTAAAACGCAGAGGCTCATGGGTAGACGCTTGTTTGTAAACAATGACACGCTATGGCCATCTGACATTTATTTCATTCCTTAAATAAACCTTATATGGTCACTCATTGGGTATTCTGCATGAATGTGTTCATGTTAACAATATTATGCTACTAGCGGTGAAAGCGATGAGCTTTTAATGCTTTGTTTTGAAAGTTTAGCTTCGCAGAATTGGAGGCAGCTAGGAATTTAGTTTTCTCTTCTATTATAGTCCCCTGTGCTAACAAACTCATATTTACATTTATCGCTGTATAACAATGCTTGCCATTGCTTGTTCAGTCAAAATGTATACTGTATATTTTGCAAGCTTTGCTGGTCAGACTAAACTATCATTGGCATACCAGCAATGCCATTTGCACACTAGCCACTACACTGATGTTATTATGCTATTAATATTATAATTAGTTAGTATCGGAACAATAAATACCCTATCGTATGTATATCACAAAACACTCATTCCAAACACATATCCAGTTTCATTAAACCTTGTTATTAATTCAGACATTTTTAAAAATTCAAAGTGCTGCCGTGGTTAAAAAAAATATTTGAAATACCAAAAACACAAAGGTATGCATGCCTATGTATGCTTTAAATAGACATCATGTATATTTCTGTTTTCTTGTTGGTGAGGAAGAGTGAGGTCATTAGATTTACAAATGCTGCTGCAAAAACAATGAACAGACTCTCAAAAATGAAATTTATGTGTAAAATGTATGTGTTCATGGATTGAACTTGGAATGAAATGATTCGCTATTGTGGAAAATATCACCCATAAAACCCATTTTTGTCTTTTGTGTGTGTCAGGTAACTATTCCGGTCATTGAAGTAATTTCTGTCACGATATTTGCTGTTGTTTGGTGCTAATTGTAACTGTACGTGCAAAACAATCTTAAAAACATAATCCAACGTGTTTGTTTGTCAGGGTTAACTTTTTATACCACAGAATATAAACTGTGGCGGACATCTTTGGGGGGAACATGCTAGCCATTGTAGAATCGCTAAAAAGTATTTAACGTCTACCGACCTATAATACATGCAACGCACTTTGCTACCAGAAATCAAATAAATATATTTCCAGCAACATGGATGTAAATAAAATACAAAAAAAGAATGTCAATTGAACGTATGTACTTTCTCTTTTATGTAACAGAGAAGGTAAATTGTGCGTCTATTTCATCCTGTTCGAAAAATCGTGTGTTGGGGTCGTAGTAGAATTTGTCTAGCGATGACAATTGCTGTTCGGGAGATTCACATGTGGAATTTATTACCCCATACACAGATAGTTGATATAACTATATTCCTGCATCGGCTAGGTGATGGCCGTGACCAAGTAGATTTTCTGTCGTGCGTTTTCACCAATTCCAATTTTTCGCTCCTAAATTGCAGTCAATAAACAAATTGGCACTAAAAACAATTCTGTGGCACGTCTACTGGAGGTACGCCCACCATATCTATTATGGTGTAAAATAATATATGTTCCTATTGAAGACATATTCATACTCTTGGGATATTGACATTCAAGAGTGACATACTAAATTACATCAATCATCTAAACTTGTAATATATAACAAATACAAAATCTGTATTTGGTCAACAAAAAATATCTAAACATTGTTGACAATATATCAATCAGAGCTTGTCTTTGTAAATTTCGTATCTTTGCACACAATTTGCGCATTGAAGCTGATAGACCATTACATAATGAAACAGAAGTTGTGTTTATGGAAACCTTTACCAAGTTGAGGATGAATTTCACTTTTGTTTGATTTGCCCATTCTGTAATAACTTGAGAATAACATATATCCCAGAGAATTTTCTTATTTTCCCCACAATAGACAAATTTATTCATTTACTGAACACCACTAGTGTGACTGTCGTTAAAAACCTTGCCAAATTTATTTTCTATGCAACTAAGAAACGTAATGTGTTCTAGGTTGTTATCCTAGATACCATGCAAATTTTAGCACAAACAGTGCGCGTATTAAGCGCTCTGTAATATATTATTGACATCTGGACCTTGAATAATTAAATAAAAAATCTAAATAAAAAAAGAAAAGAAATTGTATGAATGTTGCATTTCAAAAATGATATCTACATATGACCACGTGTAGTCACCAATTCAATACTGATGTACCAGACTTCTTTCCAGTGCGGGCATCAATATACTCGATAAGAGGAGTTTTAAATATCGAAAAAATAATGTCGATCAAAGACCATAGTTGCAGTGATAATAAAGTCATGATATTTTATATTTGTCAACTGTTCATTGTAATCTCTGAAATCCGGTTATCAATAATTACTATCAAACTAAGTTATCAGTTTCAACCATGGTCCGACATGTTACAAGAAAATCGGCAGACTAGGGTTATAATGAGTGGGTTTCTTTCGCCATTTTTCGCATTGGTATAATAGGTGTCACATTCCAAAATTGCTGTATGTTTTTGTTTGATGTTTGTTTTTAGAAGATTCATACAATTTTGACGTTTCCGTTGACTAATATTTTTTTTATACAGTTGAGCCAGGCGATTGTGTATATTAAGGAAGTAAAGTGAGTGACTTGTTATACAGAGCAGTACAGATAAAAGTCGCCGGAAATAATTGACAAATGTTGATACTATTTTTTTTTCAAATATTGTTCAAATGATTTTTTCTCGAGGCGAGACATGTTGAATCGCCACATTAAAGTGGTGAGAATAGAATCTCCATATAAAAAAGTGAAAGTGAGCGTGAAGAAGAGAGAAAAGTGGGTAAGAATCGCCATATAAAAGAAGTCAGCACGATCACTTTATGAGGGATCAATATGATCACATGAAATTTCATATCAAATGTGCGAGCGTAAATCTACATATAAAACAGTTTATAAATAAATAAATAAATAAATAAATAAATATGTAATATTAATATTTAATATTGTAATTTTAATATTTTATTACAGACACTAATCGTATATTTGGTCCCAAGGGAGATGTTGAGGTCAAATATCCGTTCAGTTGTATCACTATGAATGTTGTATATTGCATTTCATGTATTAGATGCGGGAAACTTTATATTGGTTCTACAGTTCGTCGACTGGGTGATCGGTTTGCTGAGCATCTACGGCAAACTAGACAGAAAAATCGTTATTATCCGGTTTCACTTCATTTTAATTCTAGTGGACATAATATTTCTGGTGTATGTGTTGTCAATGGCAACGAAAATCAGCTCAGGCGTGTCGAGGAGGAAACTATATTCCGCCTTGGTACTAAAGAACCCCATGGTATTAACAAACAGTTCAACTCATTTGTTGAGCTCACTACCTAAGGCGCGTTATTTGTTCTATTGTGGAATTTTTTGTGATTCTAACTTATAGTTCATGCGCGTTCTTACGTTCCTATGTTCTACCTGTACGTTATCACACTTGCTTCTATGCTATCGATAAAGAGCCATTGCTCGAAACGTCTAGCTATTTTTAATAGTTATTTAGGACTACGATTACCAAATATTATCTTCAATATTACATATAAAACAAGTAAGCATGTATATGAGAAATGAGTATGGTTAGCTATATGAGAGAGGTGACTATGACCATCATATGAAAGAAGTGTGCAGAATCAAAGAAGGGGTCGTGAATAACAATATGAAAAAACGTGGGCGTGAATCTCTACCTAAGACGTGAGCGTTAACCTCCATATAAAAAGAAAGAGCGTAAATCACAGTCTGGAAGAGATGAGCGTGAATCTCTATATGGAATAAGTCAGCATGAATCACCATATAGGAGCATTGAGCACAAATCGCCATATGAAAGTAGTAAGTATATTCGAGAAAAGTGAGCGTGAATCGCAATATGAGAGTAGTGACCGTGAATTGGAAAACAACTTCATACACAGTAATAGAAGCTAAACCAACAATTGTTTATTTTTAGTGTATTACACAGTCTCGCTCCCACCACAAACAACCGAGACAGAAAAATACCAAAGTGAAATAATGTCACATCAACTAACTTTGCACATGTCAATAGTTTTTGAGCGCACAGAAGCAGTGTTGGGGGCAATACAATGTAATTCAATTGATTTTTCTAATCAATCATTTTATTCATCACTCATTAAAACTACATTACACTACACAGCAGTACAGTATGCACAATATAAGTTTTCTCATATGCCACTATGTGCTACGTCGCCGATGCTACATTCACAGCCATCTAGTTCGGAACACCATTCTTCATACAATCACCTTGCATGATATATGATCGTCCTTAGATTGTAGTACCTTGTAATGTCCGCGTAGTAGATTTCCAATTCATTTATACAGAAAGACAACTGTTGATAAAATAAAGAAAAATAAGACAATCTTTATACACATTAAAGTTTTGTCATCAATTAGAGTCAGGCCATAGCTTCATGTAGCACAATGGAGATGGCGTTTGCCATATTTTCTGATACACGAACCATAGACGATATGTACAAGGTACATCAACAAAATACATAACATAATAATAATAAGCAAAGTAATACTCACGTTCCAGTAACTTGCCAACTAGTTGCAAATTCTTTAATGGAACTATTAGTTGTATCCTTAATTAGTTCACCTCCTCTGGTTTTCAACTCATCTTGAAAGTGAGCATTCCCATTTCCATTACCACACATGCCTCCAATCTTTAACTTTCCTTCCATTACCAATGTGGTGTCAAGCATAATCTCGACATGATACTTCTTGTTCCAGAAGACAACCAAGCCTGCTAAGGGTGCACTGACACTCATGTACCCCCCTGCTTCATTGTCTATTTCCACTCTACCCTCATTCAATTTATAAGGGAATGAAGTAATTGCGGGAGAGAAGCCGTCAATCTGACAATGAAAGACATAAGTTTTATTAGCACGAATACGATTGTCATTGGTAATGGTATATTAACGTTAACATCCGCTTGTGCACCGACCTATACATGTACTGATGGTTTAATGTTGATGGTGAAAATAAAAAAAAGATTACATTGCAAAACAAATGAAGGAGTCAGGGACCAAGTGGAGTGGAGAACTGGCGCGCTGTTGGTTAATGAACGGAAGCATGAGATTAGCTTGGAATCAAACATAAAAAGTGACGAGGTAACTAGCGCTAAACGTAACCGTACTTACACTTAAAACGTAAAATTTGACTTTGAAAACCTTGCCATACATTACTCACAGGCCAGACAAATATGTGGCGTGACCGCAGACTACTAAGAGTAACATTGACACAGGAAACCCGTTTATATAATTCAGTCCCAATAAATTGTACATTCTTTTTACGGTCACGGTGAGTGTTTTTAATATTTAACGTACCGTTATGTCCACTGTTGACTCATCTTTCCCGACGACAGAGCCGAGTTCAATGATATATCCCTCTACTGTAATATTGACATCAACCACACGTGCGGTCCGTCCTATATACATGTTCGTTGCCGATACCTTAAACGCCGGGTCCGCTCCAGCACTGTTGCCGATGTCTTCTATCAACGTATAGCCACATGATCCAGAGAAGTCGTACTTATAACCATCCAATGTAGTGAAATGGGGATCACCCTTAACAACACAGGTTTTCCACGCTAAGGACAAATGAAATGTACATTTAATACGCATACAGATTAAAGACGCTTGTCGGTTGTCAATAAACATGTCTGCATTTGTTATATTATGAGGTTATTACGTCACGAATACTGTCTGAGTCCACACTTTGCAGTATCCTCGTAATAACCTTATACATATTTTCCTTCCAAGTATAAATCATGGGAAAGCCGAAATCAAAAATGTTTAGAACAGAATCAGTGAACTTCTTTATGTGAGGTCCGGTCAAACCCTGGGGCAGCCATGTTTGTGTTTATTATTAGAGGACGCTTACGCGCGTAATCGTTCCGTATTTGGAATTCGCATTTCCTTATATGGTAGCATGAAAATACCCCGTAAAATACCGCAACATTACGGCACGCTGTAACTTATGGCTTTATGACGACAGATGTATAATAATATGTTTTATTACATGGTATTACAATTATATCACGATAGATTCCTAAGACAATAATTACTAGAGTTTGACCAGTTTGACGATTCACACCTAAAAGATACATAGCTATCTATATTTGTACATTGGCAGCATTGTAACAGTTTAGTGCAATGACTGTGGCAATTCGGACGTAATCCTGAACGTGACCTTGGTAAAATGTTAACTGCGATATTGATAATTATAAGTAAATATAGATATACATTATTAATTAAAGAACCACAGCCTTCATTCTTACCTGGAAATTTACAATAACCACCTGGGGCGAGGTCATCCTGGATAGAACAACAGTAACGGCACTTGGTCTCGACGATCAGCGGTTGTTTGTCACACTGATTAATTTTGGGCTCATTGGCTTCTACTTCGGCACACGCCTGGTGAAATAAATATGAATAGTATATTTTATAATCATTTTATACAATTAAGTGATACATAATTGTTAATACACATCTATATGTATGGACTTTACCCGACTTTGTTTGCATCCAGAACTGAATATTATTTTGCCTTGATTGTTCCATAGTTCAGTCATACATGTTGGCTGAAATAAAAATAATGAAAAAATTAATACAAGATAAAACTCTTTTGCAACTGAAAGACTTTGTTTGATTTGACTTATTATGGGGTTTTCAAAACTATTATATCGACCACAAATAATTTACTTATTTGTCTATTTACTCATTTATTAATTTGTTTGTTTGGTTATTTTCCTACACTACCTTTTGCAATACTACACGTTAACTCTGTTATCAGACGTGAATAGCACATACTACCAGATTGGTTATAGAATATGAAAGATTAAGTACTTCGTACTATATTACTTATAATAAACATTTACTTATCCAAATTATTAATTCAGTAGATATACAAATGAAGTACTATAACAAAGATCAACCTAGACTTGCTTGCAGTCTGTTGCGATCCCGATGAAAAATTCTTGAAAAATAAACATAAATTGCATAAATGAAGGATGAGCGCATAAGTCATATGACCACGAAATCCCAACAGACTTGCCATCAGTGTAAGTGCCCTCACATTACTGGCCAGATTCGGGCTTGTAATGATTGACATGTCTAATATGTTTCAATCAATCAGAAGACAGGCTAATTAACATATCAACTGAGACTCCGGAAACTATACATAACTTTTTCAAATTGTGGATATTTTTTGCGATAGCTGTCGCCTTTCACGAACAACTTCGACAGGCGACATTTGTATTCAACAGCGGATCAACAATCTCGCTAATTCCGGTTTATTGTTATGATCAGTGGCTCGGCTGCTTCACCAACCGTATGACGTATATGCAAATTTATAAGCCCGAATCTGGCCGGTAATGCGAAGCCCTGTACTGAATTACGGTGTCCTTCTATTTGATCATAATTTAGGCCACCAGCCCTTTATATGTAGTACAGTTTTACATATCAAATAACTAAATACTTCACAATCTCTCTTTTAGTTATTAAGCACGAGAATTCTGACAACTGTGTTGGTTGAAATGTATGGAGAGACAGGTACGCATGTAGTTCCTTGGGTAGATAGAGTTTTCTCTATGACCAGACATTTGAGGAAGAAACAGCAGTCAACAACAATTTCTTTGTAACATATATTACAAAATCTCATTAGCCTGTCTATTTCTTGATGTCTACCAGCTGATGACGACAAGAACTGAAGCTAGCATGTTGCCAGTCTTTTAATTTATTTATCCGTTCATAAAATAGGCTATTCAAGATGCAAAATTTTAAAATTTATACACAATTTTCTCATTTTGTACACACTTCTGTCGACCATTCTGGTATTTTGTATTCGCTGACTGTGGTTTTAAACTTATTTGTAAAAACGGTTTACATTGCCAAAAACTTTATTTTAACCACATGTAGCCAATCCAATAAAAGAACAATACATATATGAGACGTGTTCTATCTACAGAGTCAAAGCTTTTTGAAAATCTACGAACAGGCACTTATGTATAATTGCATGGAGTGTGAAAAACAGTGTTCAACAATGGATTACCCTGGAATAATATAATAATTCACAATATAAACGCATCAGTTACCTTGTTTGCACTGCATGATTCGAACACTCCATTGTTAATACATTCAGCAATGGTCAGGTCGTCTCTTTTATTGCATTTCAAACAAGACAAAGTACCTCGCCTGCTAATTTTTGCCACCTACAAGTGAAAGTCAATATATATATATTTTTCATATATTCATCATAATAGTGATTAGGATTAACCTAGGAGTTGTGATAACTTTGGAACATTATTGCGACGAATGGCATTGTGTAAAAACTAATAACAATTAGTTTAAAATCACAACTGGTAATGTTTACTAAAAAAATCGTTTATCAAACCAGTTTTAAAACAATGGAGCGCAAACAGGAAAAAGATTATTTATTGACCATATGATTGAATGAACTCACTCTTAACTTCTCGACTGAGCAAGGACCTGGCTCATACAAGTCAACCAGAGAGTCAAATATTGTAGAGCAACGCTTTCGAAATCTTGAAATGATTACGAACTTCACATGAGAGCTAGTGCAAGTACTGGTGTGATGTTATAAAAATGTGCGTGAACGGCTGAATCAACGCGCTGTAACTAAGCGAGTTGGTATTTGGTTACGTATACTATGAGCGAATGCATGAATAAGACTAACACAATTGGAACTATTTCGGGATAATTGGATTCGCTTAAAATGTGCTACTATAGGGTGATATTATTCTTAATTTCCTCATTTCTGATATCAATACAAGAAATTATCAGAAAAAAATCTAAAACGAACAAATAAAACAAACCATTACAGTAACACATTTTAAGCGAATCCAATTATCCCGAAATAGTTCCAATTGTGTTAAGAGTCTCTGTGGTACTTGTGTTAAGCAATTTGCGGATCTGGCTGGTGAGAAGCAGCCGTTCGTGCAATTTGACCATGAACCAATTATTAAAGATATTGCTGTAAGTTCCTTGACATAAATAAAAGTGGTGATATCTGGTCCACCAATTTATATACTAGTTTCCAACATGAGGCGAAATGAACAGTTAACAGTTTCCGTCTTGTCGTCATTTAAAAAAGTATATTTAAAAGATGTCATATACAAAGCTCGAATAAACGTAATGTTGTAAACTGTGACGAACTGATGGCGATTAAAAGTAGAACAGAGTAGTACAAACGATGAAACTGAAGTCCAGGTAATAAACTTATATCAGAAACAATCACATCCCCATTGCTGTTGTCATGTAGGAGATTTGTTTCAATGTCATGATTGAGGCGGTATGCTTTTTGCCAATGGAGCAAACTTTCGAAGACGGCTGTTTGACAAAAATCACTGATTCGACACCAGCTATTTCTTTTTAGTATATTTGTCTCAAGTTCTATTGACTGTAGCTGACTTGAAAAATTAGAGTGAGTAGTTAGACATAAGTGTCAGGCAATGACAAGGCTGGTCGCTAAAACATTGAGTTAGCAGTATTTCGAAGATGATTGCGTGATGAAAATTGTAATATCATCAGCTGTAACTGGGACAAAGTTTGAAAATACATGATATTGTTTCATCACAGTCACTAACGTCAACAGCGACGAAGCGGTTCTGAAGTTAAAATTTCTGTTCCAAAATAATCAATAAATAGATAAGTGTAAACGATTATAAACAGGTGTTAGTAATCTGCCTTTTTGCAAGCGAACGATGGAAATTATATTGAAGACTATGATAAAGACATCCCGTTTTCGACATTGTGAAATTCTTTTAATAACTTTGAAAACAACAGATTGTATCTAGAAAATTCATAAATACCTAGAATAACTCACAAGGAATTGTATAACATATCCACATCAATAATAATTATTACATGAAACAATAATTAACTACTAGTATATTTGAAATTTTTGCATTTTATATGTCCTATTATAATTATGACTGAAAATGAATGAATTACAAAATGAACTGACTGAAATTACAAAATAGGCAGTGTGTTCAACAACCCATACATGAACAATAATTTTAATAAATAAGATTTATTTGGTAAAATATATTGTCTTTTTCGGCATCAAAACGAAAGACGGAAGTTTTTGTCTTTTCCGTCATTTGATGTCAAACCGTCTAACATTTGTCCTTGATAAAGTGATAACTTTTAATTCTACTCGAACCTTGTCGGCAATTAATGTGTCAATTATAAAGCAACTATATTTAACACTTTAGTGAAACCGGTGAAAAAAAGTGATATCATTTGTCAGTTCCGATTAGATATTTTACAATGATTTCGTAAAATTCACCAAAATGAAATATAATATAATACCACTTTTCAGAAGACCTGATTCTCCTCAAGTCTGCATGTGCAAAATTATGTTTCTTGGACGGGGTATAAAATTGTAATGCTCAACTTGAGACATTGGTATTATATAATCACTACATCGGTATCATTTCAAAACGACCATATACGACACCCAATTGTTTTCCATTACCAAACGGTTACTAGATTCAGGAACAACGTCAACGCTGCTCATTGATATCAGTCACCCAAATTTCGCACTATTGGAAACAAATGTTTATCCATTCACCAATTCTGCTTCAATGATACAATTTTCAAGCAGTTTTGATATAACATCTTATAATACTTACAACTGTTTGAGACACCGTGGCCACAACTAGAAATACGTAATATATCTTCATCTTGTTCACTGTTTGGGTAAGTGATTCCTGTGTAGGCGCGTCTGTAGTTGAATTGTATACGTCGCTTAAATACTCTCCATGAAACAGCAGGCGCTTCCACGTAAATGTGAATATGAATTGTTCTCGATGTCTCTAAAAAGTCTTTACACCTGCCACATATACAACACATTCCATTAGACATTCATCCGGGGATTACAGCTACTTAGGTGATCTGTGCTGACCTGTGACCTGTGTCAAATATAATTTTGAAACTGCCATCACTAATATACGAAATTGACGTCAAAATGTTGCATATATTATAGTTGATGTACTATTTGTATCGGAATTCAGTAATGATCTAACAACAACGCTAAAATTTTGCACTTATTGTATTATTCTTACTAATGTGTGTTTTCATGTAGATCAATTGTCGAATCGCGTCTGAACGTTTCATGTATTACCTCTTATACGCACACATAAAGATTTGTTTATTAGTTCTGAAATGGCAAGTGTGCCAAAGTGAAACACACGTTTTAAAAAAAATCTACTCTGACGAGAGCGTGAATCATGTTATTGTCAGACTGACGTCGTCGACTTTACTACACAATTCGTACATCCCACATGTGGCGTGACAAGTTTGTAAATCATTAATAAGTATTTCACATTTTACCACAGACTGAATGGGCAGATGTAATCTACTCACAGAGATGCATTCATTAGCGAATACCACCTTTGGAAGGCATTGTTTCAGATCATTTGGTGCCAGTGTTCGTGCGGGCGCGGCTGATTCCGCTAAATAGTCATAATGATATTAACAATATGAATACAAGCAACTCAGGTGGCCCTGAATATGGAATAAGGATTCCGTAGCGAATATGAAAGCTATGTGACATAGTTATCACAACTTGACATTAGTATATTTATATAGTGGTGTTTTGTCGAATGAAAACGCGTTTATTGTATTTTAAGAACAAATTTACGACCCCCGATCTTTACTCTACGCTCTAGACATAGCCACATTTTTTTTCGTTTTTGTAAAATACGCAAATGTACAAATGTGTGTTGACGTTGAAACGATACATAATATTATTTGAGTATAATTACTTACGCTAATTACTATCGCTAATTTGCAACCAATCGCTCGTTGTTCAGATTGAAGCCTCGCAGGAATCGTTTGTTGGGACTTTCGTGAAAGAACACGCATGGTTATGTATTTGTGCAGATGAATCAGAGTTTAGAACGGTCATTCACTAATATACCATTTTCAGTTCACTGCCAAATCCCGTGTTATGCGTGTAGTCGAACGTAAACACAGAAGCAAGACATCAAAACACCACCTGAGATTTAACAAATGCGAAAGTATTTCCACGTCAATTATGATTAAGTAATGGTACACATTTCACTCTGAAAAATGGGGATTTTGACATTGAATTAAAAAAAACAAGGAATTAAAAGTTCAAAAGTCCAACCATTCGATTTCTGCATAGACGGTCGGCCAGGGTCTTTCACGCCGTGAATAGAAAATCATCTATCACAACAATGTGAACAGGACAGTGCACAGGTCATCAGACAATGTTGCTATTATTTTAGTTATTTTGAAAACGCCATACCTACAGGTTTCTCATCAAGGTATGTTGATGCCAGTTGTAATTCACTCTATGTCTATCGCATGGGAAACTCTTTAATATCGTTAATATTTTATTTTTTATACTGGTGCTTATAGTACATATGCCGACTTTTCAAAACGACATTGTATTCTTTCACCCAAACTATTAAACCAAGGGTTTTGAGAACGACTAGTCTTAACATTTATATGATTTTTTGCCTGATACAATGACCTTGTGGTTAAATACAATAACACTTACACACATGAAAGAATCAGACTTACTTGTCTGCTATATATCTCAGGTTTAAACAGAAACCATTTTATTACGTCTCAGAATGACATATACTTGGTGCCACAGCTCACACTTTTCAAAACACATGACATCACTTCAGTCCATGTGTACTTCTCTTACTTATTTGACAATATAGTGCAGTGTTAATCATTTTGTCTTTTCCTGTACTACTTTTGTCTAAAGGGTTACGGTTCGATCGGCATGCTATGTTATCTTTGTTCTGCCGATTACCTCACTCTGCCATTAGTAAACCAGCTGTGATCTAGCCTATTAGAGACTAGTGATAGCGTGACAAATGTTTTCTGGATCTTTATTACTAAGGAGTACTTATATCTATTACAGATGTGTGATGTGAGAGGGATTAGCCCCATTACAGACTACACGTGCAGTTATTTTAGGGGGGAAACCGCAGGTCAAATAATAGCACTTAAACACTCGCAATCCTCGGCAAACGCGTGATATGTAACAGGTTGTAGTTTACATTGAAATAATACAAAGACGTCACAGTGACGTGTATACACGTATTGTTTCCTGGCCTTCGTGTTATGAGGAAACTCACTAAAAACTCGAATAGATGCCTGATTATATTAACAATCAGCAAAACTTCATTGAAAAAGCGCGAACAATGAAGTTTCTTTGGGTATTCACATTTGCAATTACACTATTCCAAACAGCTGTATGTATATCAATATTTTCAATGATAACTTTATATACAATATGTAAAACAAATATATTTATTTCGCCACTCATTATTTTTTCTAAAAATATATAGTATATTTATTTATTTATAGGCACTCCCCAACAGAAGAGGTACGCTGCGCTGTCTAAAATGCCTCAAACAAGATGACCTAACAGTTGCAGAATGTGTTGAAAATGGAGTGTTCGAAACATGCGGGACGAAAAGGGTAATTCATAATATATGCAACATAACCTATTATAATCAAAATATAGATATATTAAAATACGTAGGATTACATTACGTCAAAACTGTCGACTCGATACAATCACACTCTGGTAATCTTGTCGAAATTTAACAATTTGCAAATTTAAGTTTACTATACGAATTACGAAATCACAATACACGCTTATTTTCTAATTATTTGTATATATATCATCATTGTATTTACCCTGTTAAACCGATACATGACACCTTTCATTTTTACACAATAACACAAATAATATTTTACAGCAATCTATGTTATAAGATATCTTTTTCTGTTGTGTTTCAGCCGACATGTATGACTGAATTATGGAACAAGAGAGGAAAGATTGTCTTCAGCTCAGGCTGCCATAACCGTCAGGTAGTGTCTGTATTTAATTTACAAAAACAACATTTTACAGAAACAGAAACTCCATATCTACAAGAGATTCAACTTTATTAGAGCGAACAAAAAAAAACAAAATAAGGACGTTTTCAAATCATGCGCATATGATTCCATTGATAATGTTTTACAATGAATTATATTGCGTACAGTGAGATTTAAATGCCACTATCAATTTATTTTTCTAGGCATGTGTCGACGTAGAGGCCAAGGAACTCGGCATGAACCAGTGTGACAAACAACCGCTAATCATCAACACCAAATGTCGATACTATTGCACTATCCAAGACGAGCTCGCTCCGGGTGGTTATTGTAGATTTCCAGGTAAGAATGCTTTGCGTTATTAAACATGAATGGGGTGGGGGTCGGTAGGAATTGAAGAGGGTCTCACTTTACAATATTTTTGTTTTAGAGGAGTCACATTTTATAACACTTCACATTTTATACCGTGCTCATTCAATGACCACAAAACACGGGTTATGTATATGTATTTGAACCAGGTATTCACAAATTGTTTTATTTTCAAGCACAACCTTTGAACAAAGTTTGCATATACATATACACATAACTGGGCCTCTATAATAAATGTTATGGGCATGTTTGTACGTGACCTTCAAGACTATGTTGTAACTTTAATGTGTATCAGATGTCATTAATATTGAACATTGAAATTTGCAAAACCGGCGTCTTGATTGAACTCAGATGCAACGGATGTAAATTTCTACATTTATTTAAAAGTACCAACTACTATACCTCCGTCTAATACTGTACATGTGAATATTACAAATTACGAATATATAAACGCGCAACACACGAGATTCGAAATAATAACAACGACAAAGCACCTTGACACTATAAGCAGACGCTCACATTTGTACGCCACAGTTACTGACCCACATGAACCGACTCAATCAACATTATTCCTTGAAATAACGTATAACGTATAAGAAAAAACTCTTGTGAATACCACCGTCTCAGAAGTTAATGATTTTGTATCATTCATATCCATAGTTTGATTATACTACGAAATGTAATTTCTGATATCACATTTTAGAATGTCTAAAATTAGCTGAAATGAAAATTCACAATGATACGATCGCTTCACCTTCCCCTCAGACTGTGTCAAAGTTTGTACCAAAAATTTAAAGAACAACAATATATTGGGTTGTATTCTGCCATAATTTCTTTTTTAAACACGTTTAATTATTAATAAGTTCATGCAAATGTGATTTATAGTAAAAGAAGGAGAAACGTGGAAAATCCCGTCATTTAATTATCTTTATCTGTAACTGGATAAAACATATACAATACACGGTCACCACGATGAGCATATACATGATACAGCTGAGGGGTGTCAGGTGTTCTAAGAAATGAACGTACTTGGCAGGTACTTTCGCTATTGTACTTTTTCTATTATTTCGACTATTAACACCGGATCTTAACCCTTTCAGTCACACGAATGATAGAACGTGTCGTAACGCTGCAGGCAGGACGTTTGTGTCTCGGTTTTTCCATATCTATCTTTCTTTTGGTTACCACCAAATAACTAAAAACTACATACATGTCATCGAGAATCTTTTTGTTTTTGTTTCTTGTCTCCAGCGTGGAAAACCTGTGTCGTTAAGGGTGATCCCCATTTCACTACATTGGATGGTTATAAGTATGACTTTTCAGGATCATGTGGCTATACGTTGTTGCAAGATATCAGCAACGGCCCTGGAGTCACCCCGACATACATGGTATCCGCAACAGACATGTATATAGGACAGACCGCACGTGTGGTTGATGTCAATATTACAGTGGAGGGACATGCCATTGAAATTGACTGTGAAATCGGGGAAGACGAATCATCTGTGGAAATACGGGTAATGTACTTCTACTAACTAACTAACTAACTAACTATTGCATGAAATACGTGGTCTTTCAAATTTACAGTATTCGACAAAATATGTGATTTCCAAAAACCGGTATGTAAGCGAGTTATGTAAATGATGGCATAGAATAGATCTATTTGAATAAGCAGTCGTTGTGTTTAACACTCATTTAAATATATTGAGTCATTACTGTCATTTCTTTCTCAGATTGATGGTATCTCTCCCATAATTAATTCATTTCCGTTTGAATTTAATGAGGGTAGACTGATAATAGACAATGACGAAGGGGGTTACATGGTCGTCAGCGCACCCTTAGCAGGATTGATTGTCTTCTGGAACAAAAAATATCATCTCGAGATTATGTTTGACACGACAATGATAATGGAAGGCAAGTTATCAATTGGAGGCATGTGTGGTAATGGAAATGGGAATGCTGACTTTCAAGATGAGTTGATAACCAGAGGAAGCATTCCAGTTGAGAACGGATCTCCTGAATCCATAGAGGATTTTGCAGCCAGTTGGGAAGTTACTGGGACGTGAGTATACTTAAGTGTTTGTACAAAGTAATAATATCACGTAGTGTAAACGTGATTTTGAAGTACATTTCCAAGTGTATTTCTATATAGTGGCAAGTACATGATGGTGGAAACTGTGATACTACGTCATTAGACGCCATTATTTTGTTTTAGCATATGTACTCGCACTTCCATAGAATGGCTTGATAAATATGGAAAAAAAGTTATAACCTAACGTTGAAAATGCGATGTGTTAGATTTTCCTCTTCAGTTTTGCCCCTAGAATACTGCCACGTGTTGTGTACATAAGGTATGCCGGGTAATCATAGATTACCATAGAATAAATGCGGCAATTGGTCACGTTCAGTGTTAACAAAAATAATATTTCTGAAGACAAATTGAAAAATTATTCTCCCTAATAACGGGGTCTTATTTGCACTGCAATCAAATAAATCGCATGAATACTAACGTTCGGTGTATTATAATTATGGTTATTATAAACCAGCTGACAATGCGATTACCTGCAATAATGGGAGAGAAATGATTACTGGCCATAACTCCTCGCAGTGAACTTTAAAACAGCTGACCTGGAAGTATGTTGTTCAGAGGGTGGAAACATTTCAAGGAGAGAAGACCGTTAAACAGGTGTGGTCATGGCGACTGAGCGGTCATTTTTGACAGATTAGACAATGATTTGTTGGGAATTATGCTGATATTGACTAGTACTTTAAGCTAAATTAAAGCAGCCAGTTCATTAGTGGTTAACACCCCGTGACATCGGGGATTTTTTTTCGGGCTAAGCCAACTCAACACCCATTTGGCTGTATAGGCGTTTCATAACTGCTTCAGCATTTTTGTATCATTAATCATTGTATTTTTGTCTCCTTCATCCACAGTTGTGTTTCGATGTGAATGAAATGACAGCTATTGCAAGGAAATACATACATACCGGCTATTTGAGGATGAACATGTATCGTGACGATCACTGAGTTAAACCTACTTAATTCAAGTTTTCGCCCTAGGGGGGTAAATATATTAGAATTTTTGGAAAACAAGTAATAAATATTGGTATTGATGCATTTGTGTTGGTAATGCAGCTTTCTTTATTGTAATCATTATTTTGTCATTAGATTTTAAACATAGGAACATATCACTATATTTTACACATATTCGGTGTGATTATGAGGAACCGATCGCACATCAACTCATCAATTATCTAACCCACATTAGAAACACATTTGTTAATACCGCAGTGTTTTGCCGAGGCAAATAAGAATCGAATGTATTTTGACCCTATATTCGTTTTCGCTTTCACACCGTAAACACGTCATTATTTAGACCGTCCTAAGGTGACCTCTTTTCTTTTAGTGCCTGATTTGTTACGTTACAGAAGTGTCCAACATGCGGGCAAACATGGCGGACCTCAACGTTCTTCTCGGAGTTTTTTTTTATTTACAAAGCAAATATCGACGAAGACCTAGTTTGCATCATCGCAATGGTGTCTTAAATCGTTCTGAAGCTCTCCCGTCTGATTTGAATCGTGGATGGCGGGCAGAGTGGGCACAAATGATCGGTTTCATTCTGGATATGGTTTGTATTGAACTGTTGAACAGAAACTGGCGACTGTGGCGTTACCAATCTGAGCACCAGAACGAGGCAATAAGTGGTGGACACAATTAGTTGCGAGAACATGGAGAAAACAATCGCATGATTTTCGTAAGATAAATACAAACAACGTAATGAAATTTTCACACAATGGAACATACAGACTGCTGCTTTTTGCCAAATTCCGACGTGGAAAAGGGGCGGTATGCATTCCTGCCATGTCAGCACTTAATTCCGTAATCACAGACTTGTGTGAGTCATTCCCGCAGTGATTTATTTGACTGTAACAATCGGAAAAATAGGTGTAGGTTCATAGCTCTGCTTGTGTCGATCGAATGGCGTAATAAACGTACATGATATCTGTATGGTATTGTCGACACCGATACCATACAAGTTTCATGCATTATACACCTGATCGACACAAGCAGAGCTATGCACCTACAGATAGAAAAAGACCAGAAGCCTCGCGACGGATTTCCACCCACTTACATCCGTATTAAACATCCGGGAAGAAAACAATATAATACAAATCGCTGCCATACTGCATTATTCGACGATGTTCAATCATCATGGAATTGCAGCGACATTCGCTGCTCTGTATTTGCTGAATTCATGCTTGCTTACAGCATTGAACTCATACAAGTAATATAAACGGGCTTGCCAGAGTGATAGTACATACAAAAATAGACGCTAATACTTAATGGGATATTGACGGAAAACAACACTTTTGAATGGGAAACCCCGATTTGTGAAAAACAGATCGTGAGATAAAACAAATTCGCAAAATTCTCTTAATTAGAATTACATATAGATTTTAGATTGGTTGTTTTGTGAGTCCACGGTATGCAATGACACCGAATTTGAAAAGTAGGACTGTAAATGTTACGCTACCATGTAACAATATTTCACTGACAAATTCTATAACCATTTGTCTTTCTCTTGGTTAGACGCATTCATTTGTATTTTGCAGCAAAACTGCGTGTTTCATTTGCCAAAGTTTCCTAATGTCTATGTGTCAAAAATGACAATTTCCACACATTTTGCTTAACGATGTCGTCATCGTGACGACATGCCTCATTTATATGCATTCAACCTATGTGCCATGTTTGTGAAACATTTTAGAAACAGAGAAGGGTCTGTTTGTGTTGTTCTATATTCTCTGATCATCCCATATGAGAAATAGCAATGTACAGTGCATAACGTATTGTGTTGTCATCGTGACGTCATGAAACAAAATTGTAATGTCAGTTAGCTTGTGTAATAGGTTTTCTATTGATATACAATACAGTTGCCGTTATAATAAAAGTATCTTCAGAGCAGGTTATTCTACCATTCTCCTCAGCAATACCCACTTTTCTATCTTTTTCTGTTTTTAGTGGTAGTACCTACGCAGATATATGTAAAGCAATACTCAGGAGCACTCAATCCCCGGACTGCATGCAGCATAATATCAGTATTTAGACAAGTATATGAGAGGTTTGTGACCCGTTTCCGAATAGAAAAGAGTTTTTTAGGTTGGCCCAAGTTCTCTAATGTTCACACCTCCGAAAACGTAAACGTGATGTTGTATCTAAAATTCAGTAATTGAAATATATCGCTTGTCTAACAACCTTTCCCTTCATACCAAATACAATGTAGTTGCAATAGTTTTGAGTGCATCTGTATGATATTTATAAGATTAATTTATCTCGATATGTCAACTTTTACTGCTTTTGGGGTGGTAATATTTCAAAAAATCAAATACGAATTGTGAATTGAAACATTGGCATGTCATAAATTGCTTGTTAAATGCCTAAAGGCGTCAGTAATTTACGTTTGTATGCTTTAGAATCTAAGTATTTGATCTTCAAAGATTATGTGAGAAATCGAGCTGTTACAAAACGTTGAAACGTAATCTTCAAAGAATTTTCAGTATTACGAATCTAACTTGCCGTAGCGGACATTGCATGTAGTAGTATGTAATAACCTTTCCAGTAAATACCAAAACTCGTGACAGCAAGAAGGAGCAAACCACTGCAATGTAAGAGCCAATCATTTAATACAACGGAGTAAATCAATGAACGACAAAAGAAACTTGAGATCAAGATTACGCGAACTGTAAAGTTAAATATGCACAAGGGAACTCCTGCCCATTTATATACTAATTACGTCATACCAAAACTATTTTAAGACTTTATTTTATTTAACGATAATGTGAATATGGTAATTCGTGAAATTACGGAGGTATCGAATGCCTTTTCTTCATTCTTGTGGAATACCATATATTTCGCTTTAACCGGGACAGCTGCAAAGAAATGGTATACGTACACTATTAGCATACAATGTAACAAAGCGTAGAAATAGCTACGTAACAGTATCAAAAGTGTGACGTCACTCACGAAGCATCCACCATATTAACATATTATATAAAACAAATCACAATGAAACATGTAACAACGTGATGTAAACTCATAATATTGGACAGGAATCTATTCTTGGAAGGAAACACTTTATTTTATAGTTTTGAAGATTTTGAAAGATCTCCTCAAATAAACATCAAGCAAAAGTAAGTTTCCATTATCAATGGAGGCCGAGGAGAGTCCCGGTGTTTTAATTACACTGGAAAACCTAACCACGGGTGATGGCCGACGACAAGTTTTGTAATTTAGCAAATTGATACGTTCCAAACCGGGAATTCTCAATCACATACGCAGTGCAATGCCCCCACACCTCCCACGAGACTTCCATGTCGCCGACAGTACAGTTAACTTCATCACCTTCAGGGGGGGGGTGAAAGTCTTTACTTTTCCTCTTTCAAATGTCATCGCAACGGTACCATATAATTCCAAATCACAGTTCTTGTGATCGAAAAGTAAAAGCGGGACATGTAATATCAATATTTCTATCAATGTCAACCCGATGGAGGTTATTTATGACAGCAATTCCGATTTAACACTTTAACACTGACTGATTGATTTTGTGGTTGGTGGTCTAATTTTGAAATACAAACCTTTGCATATGAATACTCAATTATTCAAATTTATACATACCATTGTTAAAACGTACTACAGGTTGTATTTGTATGTGCGATTCGCAATGTTACTTACAAATGTCTCCTGTGGCCTTAGATACAATGCTACCGGAACCGCAATAATGAATATTTTGACAACTATTTATTCAAATATTTATTCAAACAACATTTAATATTATATATCTGTTTCGAAACTACATGATTCCCAAATATAAATTTGACAAAACTTTATTAGCAAAAATCAATTATATTTTTAATTTTGTGGCGTATTAGTTTGGTATAAGTAAACGTTATAATTGGTAGCATTTACAAATTTAAATTTAATTTTAAATTGCCTGAATAAGTCAGTCGACCGACCAAATTACACACCAAATATATATAGTACTACTTACTTTACTTGATACGTTTCGGCGAATTCTTGTGCATCCCCGGTAAAGTCATCTACGGGGTTACCATCGGCATCACCGCATATACCATTCACATGCAAATGGTTAAAGGGTCGTTCCAGCATGATATCCAGGGCGTGTTTTTGCCACACCACTCTAAAGTCGTCGCCATCGTTTTCTTCTCTACCCATTAAGATTTCCAGCGTATTATCGCCAGTCATTGATAGTTTGAAAATGTCTCCGGAATTTGCAGGAATAGAGTCGGAAGTGAAAGGTTGGTCGCTATTCAGCTGAAATACAGAATTAGAGCAACAAATTATTTAGTGATACTACAAGATGCTGAGTGCCGTGCCATGCCAATTGTCATTCAGTACTGATGGAATGGAATTCTGTTCTGACAGAATTGTCAATCAGCGGCAATTATTTAATCATTAAAGTATAGTTTTGATTGATATAACATAGTTTTGCCCATTTCATATAGAATTGTATTTTGTCTGTTTAGTACGCAGTCATGGCCTGTACATTGAACTTGATTTGCTTAGTTAACGAAGTTTGAGCCGTATTATGATAATTCAAACGGCTAGGGGGTCCTTGGTGGTATAAATAGGACAGCTATGTATTCGGTATAGGTCAGTACTGTGTATTTGAGTGATTTAGGCGGGGTTTTGCTGATATACACGGTCATACACGTTGTAGACATTCCTTGCAGTAATTTCATAGTTATTTTTTCAACAAGTATCAAACTGGCTGCGTGCTCCCATATCTAAGGTACGTTGTGCTGCGATAGTCGCTTAAAAGTCGAACACGGGCGACGCGACGTGGTTATCTAGATTACGAGGCGATAACAGCTCCTGTTCCCGCTAACGGGCATATACTGGTCACGCGACATACTGGTCACGCGACATACTGGTCACGCGACGATTAGGACAACTTCTGCTCTAAATCTGTTTTGATTCAAGTGTGAAACAGAAAGTTACCTCTAGTTGGGTAATGTGAACATGAGTGGTGCACAAATTTTAAAAATGCCCAATCTCCCATAGAAATTACCATTAAAGTACATTTAAGTAGTTGCTAAG